AAAGCAGAATTCTGCAGGCAATTTATCTTTTAAACCCTTCATATTAGTAAAGAAGAAGAGCCGACAATTAAGGAATGAAGTATCCAGCTTAAGAAGACAGAAAAATAACAACAGAAGTATACTACAGGAAGTCGAAGACGGTATAATTAATAAAGGCCAAGAACAAAAATAAATGAAAAACAAAATTATAATAGAACCAAAAGGCTGAAAAGTTGGTTTCTGTAAAGACTTAACAAAACAGCTAAAATTCTGGCAAGATGTCCCCGGGGGAAAGAAAGGCTAAGAGGCTCAAAACCCGAAGTGCAGAATGAAAGGGGGCCTCACCGCAGACGTAACAGAGTGGGACAGGCAGACGGCGCCGTGAGTGGCCTTAGGGGCCACGCTCGGGACCTTAACCGAAGCAGACACGTTCCTAGAGGAAGCAGCATTTGCCAAGTCTGACTCACAGAGAAGCAGAAAGCCTGAATCACCCTATCACCATCAGAGAAGTTGAGTGAACAATTTAGTCTTCCCACAGAGACGCCCGAATCTGACAGATGTACATGTTCTACCAAAATTAAAAGGGATATTGTATGCCATTTTTACAAACTTCAGAATATCGGGGGAAGTGGGAGCACTGCCTAATGGGTTCTTGACTCTGATAAAATCTAACAGCTAAGACATGTGAGAACTTAGGGAGGAAGAGGACACAAAACCAGCCGTAGTCTTTTACACAGACGGAAAACCCGAAGTCCTTTGTTGCCGTACCAAACCCAACAGTGCACGACGCGCACCGTGGTCCACAGGGGTTATCCCGGGAATTTGGGGCTCGTTTAACCTGAGAGAACCCTGAGTTCCCTCCATGAGCAGGTTCAGGGAGGAAACCACCGGGTCATCTCAGCAGACGCCTGCGGCGCATGCGGTCATCCTAACGTGGGGGAGGGACTGGCTGGAGCCTTAGCACAAAGGCAGCCGGGCATGGAGTCCGAACAGCACTGGCCTGGGAAAAACACACCAGAAGAGAAGAGAGCTCACAAGAAGGCCGGCCTGCCTCTGGAGACTTGATAGCACCAGGGCTGACACAGCCAGTGGGCAAGAATTCCTACTCCTCCCTCAGGAAAGGAGGTGAGGCTGGACTCTGGCCTCACGTCTGACGCAACACCAGCTCCAGGCGTATCACACGCTTCCTCATGGAAGAAAGGGACTTCAGAGCACAGTGCTTGATTTTGCATCCTTGGTCAGATGTCTTACAATGGCAAACATGCCCTGCAAAGAGGTCGCGCGTTTCATTCAGTGCTCTTGTTGTCTGTCGTGATGTTGGAATGGTTATTTTGAAATTATGTTGAAATGTTATAAACTACAGCTAACAAGTAATTATATTCATGTTAAGCACAAACCCAAAGAAATTAACAAAACTTTGCCATGGAAAATTGACACAACATTGTAAATTGACTATATTTCAATTTTTAAAAATGCAAAAGAAAGAAAGAAAGGAAACACTTTGTAATGGAAACCAAGTCCCTGTCTGCAGAGATGTTTGCACCTCCACGTTCATTGCATTATTCACAGTAGCCAAGACATGGAAGCACCCTAAGTGTCCACAGACCGATGAATGGGTAAAGAAGATGTGGTGTATGTATATACAATGGAGTACTATTGAGCCATAAAAGGAAGTCCTTCTATCTGTGGCAACATGAAAGGACCTTGAAGGTATTATGCGAAGTGAGATTAAGTCAAACAGAAAAAAACTGTATGATCTCACTTCTCTGTGGAATAAAAAAAAAAAACCCTAAACTTATAGAAACAGAAATTAGATCTGTGGTTGCTGGAAGCAGAGGGTGAAGGATGGGGAAACTGGGTGAATGGGATCAAAAGATACAAGCCTCCAGTCCTAAGTCCCAGGGACGTCCTGCAGGACGTCAACAGCACTGTGTCATGTACTTGAAAGCTGCTCAGAGTGTAGATCTTAAAAGTTCTCATCACAAGGGAAAAGGGGAGGTGATGGTTGTTCACTGAACTTATTGTGATTCTAACCATTTTGTAATATATACATACATCAAATCATTATATTGTACACCTTAAACTTGTGCAATGTTACATGTCAATTATAGCTCAATAAGCTGGGGGGGGATAACAAAAGAAAAGAGGATACCTTGTAATGTTACGTTTGAGTCAGAAGTAGCAGTAGGAACTTCCTTACAGAAGATTGGCAGCCAAAACATGCAGAGGAATAATAAAGTCAGAAGACCCATGGGCCCAAATCCATTAGGCACAAGGCAAAGAACTGGAAAGTTGCAAGGTACCCAAGTGCTCACCGTCAGGTTGCTTGCTGGGTGCATGGAAGGAAATAGAGTTTTATAAAGATTGATTTTCAAATCAGGAACTGTGTGGGAGCCGGAATCTAACAGGACCCTGTGCACACAGCACCACCCAGACAGCACCCTTGCCAGGGTCAGTTCCCTCTGCCCGACCAGGCTTTATGTCTCACTTCCAGGTCCAGGCAGCACAGGGGAAAGAGAAACAGAGACTCCATGGGTCAGGCAAGAAGGAGCGTGGAAAGGTTATTTGCGGGGAAAAGTGATTTAAAGGACAGAAAAACCAAGCTCAGTGTGTGAACCTCAGTTGGATGCAATAACAAATCAAAGGTGGAAGACATTTGGCGGACAATAGGGAAAGTCTGAACATTGCTATAGACTGAATGCTTGTGTCCCCCCAAATTCACGTTGTAAACTCTAACCCCCAGTGTGACACAGTTAGAGGCTTTGGGGGCGATCAGGGCATGAGGCTGGAGCCCCATGAATGGGAGTAGTGCGATGTTCAGAGAGTTGACCCCAGAGAGCTCCCTGGCCTTTCTGCTACATGAGGGCACAGTGAGAAGGTCCAGCCGTGAACCAGGGAAGTGCGTCCTCACCAGACACCTGATCCACCGTCCCTTGGCCTTGGACCACCAGGCCCCAGAGCTGTGGGGAGTGAACACCCACGTTCCTAAGCCCCAGTGCGCGATGCTCTGTGACAGCAGCGGGAGCAGACCAAGACGAGCGCGGCGATGAGGCTGACCGAATTAAGGAAGTGCTGACTTCGTCGGGAGGGACCGTGGCGCTGTGATTCTGCAGGAAGTTTGTTTAGGAAGGTGTACTGGTGTATTTACAAGAGAAATGTTCCCTGTTTCCTCCTCTAATTTATTTATTCATCTACCAATGTGTATTTTTGGGGCGGGGGAGATAATTAGGTTTATTTATTTCTTAATGGAGGTGCTGGGGATTGAACCCAGGACCTCGTGCGTGCTAAGCGTGCCCTCTAGCACTGAGCTACACCCTCCCCCATTTGTTTTTCATTGAAGTATAGTTGATGTACACTATTACATAACTTACACATATACAATATAGTGAATCACAATTTTTAAAGGTTGTACTCCAGTTACAGTTACTATAAAATATGGGCTATGTCCCCATGTTGGACAACTCCTCCCTGCCTTGGGAATCCCGCCCTGAAGTGGGTGTGACAAATGTCGGCCGTGTGACATCTGAGTGGCGACCCCACAGTGTCCCTCACACTGTGCTCTCCACTTTCCACGTGCCCGAGTTTCTTCTAAAAAGAAGAAAACATCTAAGTGAGGCAGCAAAGTGAGAGAAGATACTGCTACGCACAAAGCTGACGATTCAGGAAATGCAGTAACTCCCCAAACCGAGGAGAAAAAGCCAAGTGCACCGCGTGAGCACGGGCGAAGGCACAGACAGGCCTTCGCAGAGAGGGGCACCCGCCCCTCCCACCCCTAGGGCCAGCGGACACACAGCGACATGTGGCTCGGCTCGCAGGCAAGGGCCTGCTCCCAGCAGCCACAGGCGACGCTGACTCACACCCCTGACACCAACCTGAAACGTCAGGCGCCCCAGGTGCGGGAAGGCACGGAGCATGGGGGGACCCACCAGCTGGCACTCTCTTGGAAGGTGAAGATGTGTCCCCATCAGTGGAGGAAACCAAGCCAGCAGACTCGGGCATCCAGCAACCCCGCCAGAGAGCAGAGGCCTCCCTGGTTGTGGCCTGGAGAAGACGGCCAACGCTCAGAGTGTCCAGGAGAAAATAAAGAGATCTGGGGGGCAGTGAGTGGCATTGTCCCCATTCACTTCCCAGCCCACCCACACTGGCCCCAGGACTCCACCCTCAGGAACTGACACCCACCCCAGTGACGTCCTCCCCCCACCCCCGCACCCTGAGGTCAGCACCCTGGACAGGGCCTCGGCAGCCCCTGCCCTGCTGGGGTCTTTCAGGCCGCAGGCACACAACCAGACCTCGCTCAAAGGGAGGGGCTATTCTAAAGGCCCCTGTCTTCTGGGCAACAGGGACTTCTATTCAGGAAGCCCTGGTCGAGGGGAGAGGGGGATGGATGGGGCAGAGGGAGGCAGAGACCCTTCCTGTGAATCCAGGCTGAGCACTAGCAAATGATAGTGAAGCCTGCCCTTTCAGAAAGGCCAGTGAGCCGCCCACCTGCGTTCTCCAGGGTAGAGGCCCTTGCTGCCTCTATTCCCCAGCCTCCCTGCAGCTAGGTGCAGCCACGTGACTAAGTTCTGAATCATGAGCCAGAAGTGGAAGTGCCCTGTGGGACTGCCTGGATGTCTCCTCTGACCTGTCCCTTACATGCTGTTAGGAGCATGAGGCAATGGCTGAGCTCCAGCAGCCATTGTGGGGCAATGAAGCTAGAGTTTGGTTTGATCAACCCTCTAATTGGGAGTTGAGAGCTGGAGGGACCTGGCTCCCAAGGGCTGAGGAGCCCACACCATCCCTCGGCTGCCAGCCCTGGCACCTGGTAGGTGAGACAGAGAAATATACAATCTTGCTCAAGCCTTGGCTCCTTGAGTCTCAGTGGTTTGTGCCAAACCAAACTCAGGATACACAGGCCCGTGATTTGGGGGTGGGGGAGGGGGGGAGGGCTTTCCCCTGGAGGTGAAAGTTCTCAGTCCTGCCCTCTAGCTGGCCCACTCAGCTCCAGATGTCCGTTGGGGGCGTGGAGAGAGGTACTTGGGACAAAGAGGAAGTGGGCAGAAGAGGAAACAACAGGCGGTGGGGAGGAGACAGGTGGGCGGGAGGAGAGGCAGCCACTGAGCCCGCCCGCGAGTGCGAGCAGGAGGCCTGCAGTCTGCGGCGGAGCCACGATGAGCATCAGGGCAGGACCCCCAGAGGTGAGTGCCAGTGGGCCAAAGGCCTGGAGAAGGGGGCTCCAGTCCACTGCCCCGTGGCCCTCGGCTGCCAGCAGCCCTGGGCCTAGAGGGTCACCAAGCCTCCAGCTGGGCCTGCAGACCACCTGTTCCTCCCCCAGTTTGTGCAGCCAGGACACCAGGGCCTCAGGGTCTCCCAGCGAGTTGACAGCAGGCCCTCTGCCCCAGCCTGGGCCAGGCAGCTGCGCCCCACACCCCACAGGGCAGGATGTCCCACCTCTTCAGCCGTGACCCCCGATGCCTGCAGGGTCCCACGGCTGCCAGCCATGGGGCTGGGGAAGCTCAGAGCTGTCCCATGGGGGCCTCCCACCCTGTCACAGCCCTGAGATGCCAGCGCTAATGGGTCATCCTTTCCCGACAGCTGGCCTCACCTCAGGGATGCACAGGGTCCCCAGGGCTGCAGCTGCCGAGAGTCCCTTGGGTGGCTGGCACCCTGGGCCCCTGCAGCTCCCAAAGGCCAAGTGGAGGAGATGCCCTCTGGGGATGGGTGGCCTGGCAGGTGCCTTAGACGGGCTCTGCGTTCCAGGTGGGGGCAGCGGGGGCAAGGCTGCTGCGCTCCAGTCTTCCTGTCTGCCTGGGGCCCTGGGCTGTGCTGCCAGGACCCCACCCTGGCCCGCACATCCACTGCCTCTCCTGAGAGTTAATGAAGGGGCCTGGGGAGCCTGTTCACGATGAAGGCCTGATGCGGCACCCCATCCTCCCTGAGGCAGGGAGGGGCGTGGCAGGCCCCTGAGCTCCCCTCTGTGAGGTGGGGGTGGGGAAGCACCCTGACCCCCGCTACGGGGGCTCCCCGACAGGGAGTGGGTGCCGGCCCCCCGGGCCCTGCCTGAGTCTCCCTTTTTCATTCAGTTTCCGGGGCCCCCACCACCCTGTGGTGGTCCTCGCTCAGGGCAGACGCAGCCCCAGGCTCAACTGCTGTGGCCGCCCCTTCCCCACACCGAGGCAGGACAGGGTGTCTGGGAGGAAAGTCCTTCAGAGCCCACGAGGCCAGCTGCACTCACGGGCCTGCAGCACGACCCCAGCCCCAGGCCCAGGCTGCAGGGGCCGCTTCCCCACCGAGGCCTGGAGGGAACAGTTGGCCGCCCGGGCGACCTGGTCACTGGGCGTGGGCCCCTTGCTGCAAGCCAGGGAGAGCACCCTGAGCGCGGGAGCACCCTGCTCGTGGTGGCATTTGAGGCTGCCCTGGGAAAGAGCCCAACTCCAGCCAGGGCCTCAGCCTGGCTTCCAGCTCCTTGTGGAGGTGACCACTCCGAGGGGACAGGACGGATCTTCTGTCCCCAGCTGGCTGTCCCCAGAGTCCTGCTGGAGAGGGAGAGCCCCAGCCAGTGCTTCAGGGTCCCCACTCAGCCCCCAGCCCCCTGAACAGCAGCGCTTTCTCTGTGCCGGGTCTTTGCTGCTGGCCGGCTCCCAGGAGGGGCTGCCTGTCGGCCGGGCCGGGGACCCAGCCCCGGGAAGGGAAGCAGCTGTTTACAGGCCCGAGTTGAGAGGGCCAGGCTCGAAAGCAGAAATGGTATCAGACACGCTGAAGTTGTGGTTGAAACAAGGAACTGAGATTCAGACACCCACACGCCCACCAAGAGGGAGACTGAAAGGGAGAACAGCGGGTCCCACGTGTCCTGGGCACCGGCTGGGAGGCGTACACACGTGCACACGTGCTGGTGACAGGCCCGGGCTCACCAGCCTCAGGTCCACCACCTGCAGGTCGGGCAGGGTGAGGGGCTGATCTTGGGCAGGAGTGGGTGGCCTCTGGGGGTTTGAGTGGGTGTCTGCAGAGGTTCCCATGAAGTGGCGTCCCCAGTGCCCGGCTGCCCAGGCTGGAGCTGCGGGTGATGCCGGGGTGACCCGTGCAGGTGCTGAGGCCTCTGCAGAGCGCACCGCTGGCCCCTGAGTGGCCTGGCTCCACGCCACCCCGCAGCCCGTGGGACAGGGAGGCTGGCACGGTAGGATTGGGGTCCCCAGGGGCAAAGACAGAACCAGCCATGGGGGAACGGGGGCTCCTAGGTCAGTGGACTTCCCGCACCAGCCACATCTCTCTGTCTCAGGGGACCTGGGAAGACAGCCAGTTACCTGTGGCCACAAGGTGGCCCCCAGGTCTCCCATTGCCCCAGCTCCTCAGCGCCATCCTTTCCTACCCCAGTACCCCCAGCCGCAGGCTGCCCTCCTGGGGGCGGGGACAGTCTGTCTCAGCACTGGAGGGGCTGTCGGGCCGCCTGGAGCGGAGCCTGGCCGTGCAGCCTGGGGACCCGGTGGTGACGCCTCCTCCAGTTGCAGGTTCTGGGGTTGCTGGCCATGCTGGGACTGGGCTCCGTGATGCTCACCTATCTCCTGTGGCAACTGCCCCTTCTTCCCACCGCGGGCCGAGCGCACCCCCAGGGAGGGCCTGCCGGGTCCTGGGGCCTTGGCTCCAGCCTGGCTTGGGAGCCCCTGGGAGGGGAGCCCCAGCAGCAGCCGCAGAAGGACTCCTGCCGGTGAGCGAGCCTGTGGGGTCGCAGGGCGATGGGCGGGTTTCAGCTCCAGGTTGCTGCCTGCCTCCCTGCCATCGGAGCACCCCAGGGGGTGAGCATTGCCCTCTGCCATCTCCTCTTGGGAGATGCAGGTTCTGGGGAGGGCAGGCAGCGAGGCTGGGGGAGCGTGGGGGGAGTAGGGGGCTGGGAGCTGGGTGCGAGGGAGGACCCGAGAC